GGGCACAGTGGAACAAGGGTGACCCAGCAGATGGGGGTGACCCAGCGGATGGGGGTGACGGGAATGACCGGGGCACAGTGGAACCGGGGTGACCCAGTAGATGGGGGTGACAGGGATGACTGGGGCACAGAGGAACGGGGGTGACCCAGCGGATGGGGGTGACGGGAATGACCGGGGCACAGGGGTAATGAGCGTGACCCAGCTGATGGGGGGGGCCGTGGGTGAGGGGGAGGCGTCGCAGTCCTGGCGGCTGAGGGCGGTGCTTGCGCCGCATCTTCCAGGATCAGTCTCTGGGGAACTGGAGGATCAAGAGGCAGATCTTGGAGGGGGAGGAGATTGCCTACAAGTTCACGCCCAAATATGTTCTGCGAGCCGGCCAGATGGTCACGGTAGGTGGCGGGGCAGGAGGGCGAGGGTGGCTACGGACCGGGTGTGAGGTGGGGCTGGAGGTGTGGGACTCGGCAGGGGGTGGGGTGGCGGTGGCAGCAGGCGCCATCTCAGAGGAGCTGCTGCAGTCCTGGAACCTCCATGCGCCCGTGTGGCTCCACTGAGCCTCCCTGAGCCTAAGCAGTGTGCCCAGGGTCTGAGTCCAGGCCGTCAGGGCTGGCAGGCGTCCCGTGACATGTAGCAGTCAGGGGCATGGACTGTGGAGCCTGGGGGCTAGAGCCAGGAGCCTTTGGCCACTTTGTTCCCTGCTTCTGTGTCCTGGGGACCATCACCTTGGACAAGCCTGCGTTGGGCTGGAAGGACTGAATGCCCAGGGCATTGAAGGGGGCTGCCTGGTAGGGGCCAGTGGCTGGTCCACGTCCCAGGAACCTGAGGTGACCCTGATGGGGGTCCTTGTTCTTGGGTCCCCAGGTGTGGGCAGCTGGGGCAGGGGTGGCCCACAGCCCCCCCTCAACGCTGGTGTGGAAGGGCCAGAGCAGCTGGGGCACGGGCGAGAGCTTCCGCACCGTCCTGGTCAATGCAGATGGCGAGGTGGGTGCCTGACTTGAGGGGTGCTCGGCTGGGGTCCTGGGTGGGGTCTGGGGACCCTTGGGGCCAACACAGCAGCTCTGGGCCTGATCCCGGATGTGCTGCTGTGTCCCGTCCCACACAGGAGGTGGCCATCAGGACCGTGAAGCAGTCCTCAGTGGTGCGGGAGAATGAGAATGGGGAGGAAGAGGAGGAGGAAGCCGAGTTCGGCGAGGAGGACCTTTTCCACCAGCAGGTAGGGCACCCGTGCCCACTCGTGGCTGGCGAACAGCCTGTGGGGCAGCGTGAGCTCGTGCACGCACACACACACACACGCACACACACACACGCTGCCTCTGGCTCCCGTGGCTCGGGGTGAAGCCAGCCTTGGCTGTTAACAGGCACGGCAGACCCGCTCTTGCCTCCTGGGTCGTGCCCATCGTGTGGATGTGTGACATCACAGCTCTCAGGGTAGCTGGCCTGGGGGTCCCCTGGGAGGTGGGTGTTGAACAGCTCCCCAGATGCTCTCTGGTCAACCAGGCTTCCTCCGTCCAAGACACAGGCCCCTTCAGTGCTGGCTTTTGGGGAGGTGAGTACAGAAACCACATCAAATGCACGCATTGCAAGATTCCTGTGGTTCTTTCTGGAACCCAAAAACAGAACGTGTAGCTCACAGTCAGGCTCGTGGGGAAATGGAATGGAAGTCTCTAGAAGTAGAAGCTGTTGTTGCTCCGCCCTGGCCTGTCCAGCCTCTCCCTGGTGGGGAAGGTGGGGACAGCCAGCTAGCTACCTGCCGGCCGGCCGCCTCCAGGTGGCCTGCTTCCTGACCGTGGCCGTCCTTCCTTCCTTCCTTCCTTCCTTCCTGCAGGGGGATCCGAGGACCACCTCGCGAGGCTGCTGCGTGATGTGAACCCACACTCCTCATCCACACACCTTTACCCAGAGCCACTGAAAACTATTTTTATATCATTGGCTTTATTTAGTTCTTGATACATTTTTAGAGAATTTCTAAGCAAACTGCCAGAACGTGTGGGCGGGTCTCCCCAGCCCTCCCTCTCGGTGGCTTTCCTCCAGCTCCGCTTCGTCGTCACTTCGCCATGGTCCGGAGACTTTCTTTCCAATCCACCCCGCTCCCCATCTCACCATGTGGAAGCCCAGGGCCAGGACCCCGAGGTTTAGAAGATGCTCGGGCTTGGAGGGAGGAGGGCCGGCAGGCTTGGGAGGGGACAGGAGGCGGTCTTCATGCGGACCGAGATCATGGAGGAATTCAGTGGTGGTGGGTTTTGCTTTTTTTTTCCTTTGAGACGGAGTCTTGCTCTGTTGCCCAGGCTGGAGTGCAGTGGTGCGACCTTGGCTCACTGCAGCCTCCGCCTCCTGAGTTCAAGCGATTCTCCTGCCTCAGCCTCCTGAGCAGCTGAGATGACAGGCGTGAACCACCACATCCAGCTAATTTTTGTATTTTTAGTAGAGACGGGGTTTCACCGAATTGGGCAGGCTGGTATTGAACTCCTGACCTCGTGATCCACCTACCTCGGCCTCCCAAAGTGTTGGGATTACAGGCTTGAGCCACCATGCCCAGCCGGGTTTTGCTTTTTGAAGGCTTTCTACAAAACCAAATTCAGAGTTCAGGCTTTGACCTGGTGGGGCTGGGGGCCAGGCCTGCAGATTCTGGCTGCTCAGCTTTGGACAGTGGGAACCCCTTAGCCACACAGCAGGCGTGGACCAGCGTAGGGATCGCGTGGCCCCCAGGGTGGGTTTTCATTCTGCTGCCTGGGCTTCCAGATTCCCAGGTTTTTCTGACCGTCAACTTTATTTGCCGGAGTTTTTTCAAAGCTCAGCTCCTGACTGCAGGGCTGACAGGGCAGGGAAGGGGGGACCCAGGGAAGGAAGAATGAGGACCGTCCTGTTGTAAGACCTGTCATGACCACAGTGTGGAGGGGACATAATCTGGTTGCCTCAGACACAGAGGCTGTGAGTTTCAGAGCACCTGTCTGCAGGAAACGCCACCATGCCTGACCCTCTGGAGGAGAGCGATGCGGGCCCCTCCCTGTCCCTCTGCCCTGCGTCTATATATACACGTGCATATCCATACTGTAGCTTTATCTGTGACTTTCTCGCTGAAACCATGTTTCTCAGGCCAAGGCCACCTGACTCCTATCTCGACACCCCCAAGCCCCTCAGTCCAGCTTCCCGACACCCAGCACCACCCTTTGGCAATAGCTCACCGTTTACACCCTCCCTCATAGATACACAGAAGTTATTTTTTTAATGGATATTTATTTTTTTACATTGGTCAGTACGCAGATCAGGGGTTCACGCCGGGGCCTTGAGGACAGGCTGACCCTCCTCGGGTGGCGTGGAGCTGGCGGACCCTCCGACGGCAAAGCCTCTTTCAGAAAGTGCAGCTCGAGTCTTAAAGACACCGATACTGAGCCATGGGTCGCGCCGTCTCTGGGCCGTGGCGTCCACTGCAGGGCGCGGGTAGCACCGCTCCCCTGGACTGAGTGTCCACTTCCTTGGGGACTTGCTGGTGGGAGGAGGGTATGGGAGGCCAGAGCCCCAGGCCAGGAAGGAGCCAGCGGCCAACAGAGCAGAAACACCTGCTGCCCCATGTGCCCCCATCACTGTCCGCGCTCTCAGAAGTCCCCGCCCATGTAGAGGGGGCGTGTCTTACCAAAGCATATCCTCCTGGAAGGTCGGCTGGTGGGGAGCTTTGCCTGACCCAGGACACCCTCTGCCGGCCTCTGGAAGTGGGAATGGGGGCGCCAGGCTGTGTCCTCTTCCCCACCCTCACAGCAGGAATCACCCGGACCACACCGGCCAGGCTTCGTGCCGTGAGGGTTCTGGGGTGGGTCTTGGTGGTCTCAGCCGCATCCTATGTATTTTGGGCCTGGGGGAGCAAGGCTGTATCCCGGAGTTGGTCTGTGATTTGCTGACAGCCTTGCAGGCTTAGGTCACGGACAAAGAAGTTCCCCCAAAACTCGCAGGTCCCGATGTCCAGAGGCTGCCCAACCCTGTCCAGGACCCCCCACCCTACATTTGCCTTGAGTGGGGCTGTGGGCGGCCACAGCACTGTGGGTGCCCTTAGCTGAAGGGGGTGACAAGAGATGCAGACTGGGTGGCCTGTGGGTGACTGGAGGTTCATTGAATAATGAGTCTTTGGAAACACTAAGAAAATCAAATTTTTAAAAGTTATTTATGGCCTGGGAAACAATTTGCATTTGTCCCCAAATACGCTTAGCTTTGTGCCGCTTAGAAGATGCGAAACCGTCCCTCTGTGTAGGCCCATGCCGTGTGAGTCTAAGCCTAGCACCCTCCAGCATCAGACGCCGCCCAGCCCTTGGGGGGAGACCCACGGCTGCTGGACCAACCGGGTTCTGGGGTGCACAGCCCCAGGTTAACGCTGAAGCCTGCCCCGTTGAGCCCAGGAGCCAGGGCCTGCAGGCTGACCCAGAATCCGATCATGCACCTATCCTCATGCCAGCGGCTTTGGCTGGGGTTGGCCTGAGGCCTGCACGTGGCAGTTCTTTCTGTTAAAGATCTGAGGGTCTCAGTCCTGGGGCGCCGCCGCCTGCAGCCTCTTCCAAGCCCTGCATCGAGCGAGCGTCACAGCACAACCTGCAAACGGAGCTGGGCTGCAGCCTCGGGCCGGCGTGGGCTTTCATTTTAGAGATTCGGTTTTTAAGAAGATGCATGCCAAATGTGTGGGGTTTTCTTTTCCAATGATTTGTAATATACATTTTATGACTGGAAACTTTTTTGTACAACACTCCAATAAACATTTTGATTTTAAGTTCTGCCTCTGAGTATTCTAGTGCAGGGAAGCTCGAGCCAGGGCCTCTGCCCCTAATGAAGCGGATGTCTAAGACCCTCCACCCCGAAGGAAAAAGGTCGCTGGCGAGTGTAGACAGTCCCCAGTGTTTTTTTCTACTGAGCCTCCGACGCAGCTGCACGGACTCTTGGTCACCTGCCGCGACCGGGTTCCTCCGGGCTGCGCCCCGGCGGCAGCACGTGGTTAGACGCACTGGGTGCCTGGTGCGCATGCGCAACAGACCGCGGGACAAGCCGGAGGCGGAGCTTAAGTACCAAGTAATCGGCCTCCGCCTCACGCAGTGGCACCTCCCTCCCCGCGGAGTCGCAAGCACGGGCGGCTGCAGTCGGTAACGGTCAGTCCAGGCCTGCGCATGCGCGGAGAGCCCCCGCGCAACCTGGAGCGGGCCGGGCGCGCGCGGCCTTCTGGGAGTTGTAGTCCTCAGTCCTCGCCCTCGCGGGCTTTGATTCCCGTGGTGCCCCGGGCGGCCCGTTTCCGGCGCGGCTACGGGTCGGCGCACGCGGCCTCGGTCCGGTTGACTGCGGAGCCATGGAGGGCGGCTTCGGCTCGGATTTCGGGGGCTCTGGCAGCGGGAAGCTGGACCCAGGGCTTATCATGGAGCAGGTGAAAGTGCAGATCGCCGTGGCCAACGCGCAGGAGTTGCTGCAGGTGCGGGGCTGGCCGGGGTCGGGGGCTGGGGGCGACAGGGCCACCCCGAGGGCCGGCGTCACGGCTGAAGCCTGGCGTGTCTCCACAGAGAATGACGGACAAGTGTTTCCGGAAGTGTATCGGGAAACCTGGGGGCTCCCTGGACAACTCCGAGCAGGTGAGACCCGCGGAGGTTGGTGGCGAGGGTCGCGAGGGTCGGGATTTGGGCGGGGAGGCGTCTGCGCGTGCGCGGACTGACCGGAAGCGCAGCGGAGCGGCCACTGCACGTGCGCAGCCAGCGGCCCGGGCGGCCTGGAGCCAGGGTGCGGGCGGACCCCGGGGGCGCGAGCGCCGGGAATGAGCCGTGCGCCCTCCCCTCCCGCAGAAGTGCATCGCCATGTGCATGGACCGCTACATGGACGCCTGGAACACCGTGTCCCGCGCCTACAACTCGCGGCTGCAGCGGGAACGAGCCAACATGTGACCGGCGGGCCGGTGGCCACCCCACCCTGTTTATTTCCATAAACGTGCTTTGAGAGGTGGGGCCCTCATGTGCGTACTGCCTGCCCGGGGCTTAGGGGGGTGGCTCCGGTGCTGGGACAGATGGGACTGTGTTCTCACCACCCCCCGGCCTGCCCCCTGCCAGCCAGCGCAGCCTGCGTCTCGGGGTGAGCGGCCCTGTGCCTTCCCAAGGTGCTGCCAGCCCAGAGGCACCTTCTTCAGGCTTTGGGGTATTCCCCTGGTGTGCCCAGGTCAGCCTCATATTCTGGGTGGAGAACTCTTGTTTGGAGTTTGGAGTTGGCCGGGGTCAGACCCCACCTGAGCTGTCACCTCCCGCGCATGGGCAAATAAATTGTTGGGGGAGGGCGGAGAGAAACCTGTTTATTTCCATCCTGAGGGGTCTCTGGGAGAAGGTGACGCTTGCCCCTGGAACCCCAGCTCGGAGGGCCTCAGCCTCCTCTGGGATGGGGGAAGTCCATCTTTTTGTTTTTTGGTTTTTTGTTTGTTTGTTTGTTTTGCTTTTGAGATGGAGTCTCGCTCTGTCGCCCAGGCTAGAGTGCAGTGGTGCAATCTCGGCTCACTGCAACCTTTGCTTCCCGGGTTCAAGAGATTCTCCTGCCTCAGCCTCCCGAGTAGCTGAGACTTCAGGTGTGCGTCACCACACCCGGCTAATTTTTTGTGTTTTTAGTAGAGACATAGTTTCACCATGTCAGCGTGGATAGTCTGTATCTCCTGACCTCGTGATCCGCCCACCTTGGCCTCCCAAAGTGCTGGGATTACAGCTGTGAGCCACCGCACCCGCACCCAGCCCCATCTTTTCCCTTAGTGCCGCTGGGCTGCTGAGTCACGAGGAATGTGTTGCTGGCGCCACCCCGTCCCAAAGGCTAGGGGGGACAGCCCTCCCCGGGGCAGGGCTTGCTTTCACCCTGTTAAAGTGCCCTCTGAATGACAAGATCCCCTAAACAGTTTTTCTGTGAGTAGCAAGGCCGTTTATTCACCCCGGGGCTGGCGCGCTGAGTCTGAAAAGAGAGCAGAGGGCGGTGGGCTAGGAGTTGGTTTCATAGGTTTGGGGTGGGCAGTGGAAAGTTAACCCGTCACAGTTCAGGGTGGTTTTTGCAAGCTGGGGGTGGGGGTGGGAGGTGTGGCAAGGTCCAGTGTCACAACGTTGGGTTAGACTTTTTGGCTCTGTGGGTCTCAGGGGTCACCATGGTGCAGCCACTTCAAAGAACCTTGCATTCCTGCCTTTTGTATATTAGCAACTAGAAAACGGGGGCAGTGAATACTTTTGGGTGCTACAGAGGGGCGATGGGCGATGTTTCTCAGCGCTTCTTTGAGTGGGAGTGGGAGCGACGTGGAATCCTAAAAATGGGAGGGAATTCAGACTGCCGAGAGATTTTGAGGCAAAGGTCGATGATCTGCGGTTGTTAGGAGGAGCATTTGCTGTATTGACTGATTGGTTATAGCCTGGATATGGTTTTCTAGGGATTGAGAGACTAGTCCGCGTAGAGGAGGAGAAAGATGGGTGTAAGGGGCCAGCCAATGGAAGGAGCCATGATACTCAGTTGGAGAGAGGCCAGCTAGGTCCAGAATAATTGTCTGCCTGATGAGCAAGCTTCTGGGCCCTGTCTTTAAGCCTTTTGATGGCGTCATGTACAAGGCCGGATTGGTTTAGATAAAAGCAGCGTTCTTTATTTGGGAATAGACAGAGTCCTTTTTTTTTTTTTTTTTTTTTTTTTTTTATTTTAGCAGTTAGTTAGTAGATTGAGGACTTGACGATCTTGCAGGTCACCTGCAGCCAGGGAATTAACCTGGTCTTGGAGAACAGTGTTTGAGTATGTCTGAAATACTGGCGGAAACATTATTAGAGAGACCCCGGAATGCGGTGATGGAAGTAGTAAGGTCTGCTGTACCTGATCCAGTTGCAGCAGTGGATACCCCAGTCCTACAAGGAAGGGGATTCATGGAATGTCTTGTCATGTAGTAGTTACAAGAGGGACAGGGAGATGGTCATTTTTGTTGGCAAACTGGGTTTTGGGAGTAAGGAAAATTAAGGTACAGGTGCCTGTGTCGTTGGTAAGAAGGCAGAGGTAGGCGAAAGAGCCACAGGAAGAAAAGTCCTTGGCTCAGGCAGAACTGGAAGTGTAGACGGAAAAGGTGAGAAACGTTCTACGGGGGCTGGGGTCTTGTCCCCAGATACCAACGGAACCAGCGAGGGCTGCGACTTTTAAAGGTTGTAGTGGGGTTTGATAGAGCCATTGTGCGGAAGGAGAGGTCTTGTTTTCATGATGTATGAGAAAGCGTTACAAAACCCTGATTGTTAAGCAGAGAGGTGGTGCTGACTTCTGGGGGTCCTGTAAAGCAGACAGGTCGGCTAAATGAAGTGGGTTGGGCGCCGACAAAGTTGTGATAGTCCGTTGGGGCCTGGAGTTGTTAAGTGGCATCGACAGGGTAGGAGGTGGCTAAGAGCTGGGCCGGAGGATGGATTGTGTTGGAAGCGTAAAGGGGCCTGAAGAGTTAAAACAGTATTTGTGGGCCAGGCGCTGTGGCCGATGCGTAATCCCAGCTACTAGGGAGGCTGGGGCAGGGGAATTGCTTGAACCCAGGAGGCGGAGATTGCAGTGAGCCGAGATCATGCCACTGCAGTACAGCCTGGGCGACAGTGCAAGACTGTCTCAAAAAAAAACACAAAAAAACAGTATTTGTGGTTACAGAACCTGGTATGGGTTTGTGTTACCTGTATATGGAGTGAGGTTGGAAACGCAGGAGTGCAGAAGCTGTGGTGCACGTCCTGTCGGTATGTCCGACCTTGTTACAGATGGCTGACTGCATATTTAAGAGCTGAAGGCGCCTTCTTCCTTCATAGTGAGGGTAACGACTCAGGCGAGTAGGAACCCAAGTCTTTGCAGGGACGGAAGTGACAGTGTAAGTAAGTTGTAGCTGACAGAGGGGACCCCAAACCAGCAACCTTTTGTTAGGGTTCGGCTGGATGGGTTTAGCAAAGAATGGCTTGAGTTTTGTAGAGCTAACTGGAAACAAGAGGAAGGGGACGTGCAATTATGTGGGGCACACAAAGTGGTCGGAGTTGACTGGGGGAGAAGTCACAGGGGGTACCCGGGTTTCGGCACCAAATGTTAATCGCGCTGTGCGTGAAGAGACCCCTCCACAGGCTTCGTGAGAGCAACAAGGCTGTTTATTCACTCTGGCGCTGGTGGGCCGATGCAGAAGACAGCCAGCGGAGGGCGACGGGATAGGAGCTGGTTTTATAGGTGTGGGGTAGGCAGTGGAAAGTTACAGTTCAGGATGGCTTTTTTGCAAGGCGGGGGTGTCACAAGGTTGGACTAGACTTTCTGGCTCTGGGAGATCCTCTGGAGGCGTACGTGTGGGTCACAGGGCTCATCATGGTGTAGTCCCCCGTGTGGCCAGTTCAGAGGACCTTGCAGACCCCACTTCCTTCCACCCGAGGTCCTGGTGGAGCACCAGGCAGGTCAGTGGTCCTCGCTGTGACACCGAGGTGCTGAGCTGGTGAGCTAGGGTGGAGGGGCTGTGTTCATTGTAACAAAATGTTACAACCCAAGTGCCTACCACCCCACGTCTGTCCTTGGGTAGGGTACAATGAGGGGGGTGGGGGGGGTGCGGTGGCCTGCTGGCCCTGCTGCTTTTCACCTAGAGTCCTGGCCTAGGCGGCCACGTGGCATCACTCCTGGATGTGCTGTCCTATCCAGCCTCTCACAGCTGCCACCCGGGTGTAGACACCCGGGAAGTGGGGCCGGCCACAGCCGTAGCCCCAGCTGGTGACCCCAGTGAGCACCCACCGTCCAGAGGGCTCCCTGCAGGCCAGGGGTCCCCCAGCGTCGCCCTGTTGGGGAGAGAAGAAAGGGGGTTCAGAGGCTGGCACCTCCCTTACAGCAGCCCTCAGGGCACTGGCCCCTGGGTGAGTGACATCCCCTGGGACCCTCACTTTCACTGTCTGGAAAATGGGCTCAGTGCAAAGGTGGCTGACATTGTGGACACCTGCCACGTGGTCCCGAAGTGAAACGGGGCCACCCGCTGCCGCCGACACCCAGGGGTGGGATGCGGTGGATGGGGGGACCTGTCTCGTGGTGGGTGCCCAATAAACGGTTGTGAAGTGGACATTCCTCCGGAGCCACAAAGGCGCCCTGCTTGATCCGCTGGAGGAGTCCGCACTGGAGGCCGGCGCCGAGCTGGTGGGCTTGGCGCCCCGGGAACCCTCCCTCCCCGGCGGCCGGGCAGGACCTGGGGCTCACCGAGCAGCTGTCCACGCCTCCCTGCGGGAAGCCAGCACACAGCATGCGGCTGCTGATCTGCACTGGGTAGAAGCGGCGGCAGGTCTGCTCGCTCAGGAGGCGCACGGCCGCCTTCTGCAGCTGCCGCGCCATGGAGCCTGCAGGCGAGCAAGACCGGGCAGGTGTGGACCCCGTCCGGCCGCCCCCACCGCGCCCCGCACTCCCGCGGCCCAGGGTGCGCCTACCTCCCTCGCGCACCGAGCCCCAGCCGGTGATGACACAGCGCGCGCCGTCCGGGGGTCTTGGAGCCGGCTCGGGCAGGCAGATGGGGCGCACCAGGCGGCTGCGGCGCACCGGGCCCGCCAGCTCCAGCAGCGCCACGTCGTAGTCCAGGGTGTAGAGGTTGTAGAACGGGTGCTTGTAGATGTGCGCCACGCGCTCCAGCTGCCCCTCCGCGCCGCTCAGGAACGGCGTGCCCAGGAAGGCCGCCCACTGCTTGGGGTCCCCGTAGCTGCAGGGTGCGCGAGGACAAGCGTGGGCCCGAGTCCCTGCGGCCCACGCCCTTGCGGTGTCCCCCAGCGGCCGGCTGGGACCTCGGGTGGGGTTCTTGGCCTCTGGCTGCTGGTCTGGGAAAGGCTCAGTGGCCCCCACTAAGCCCCAGCTACCAGGCACCAAGAAATGCAGCCATCCCCACCTAATGGTAGCCTCTGAAAGGGGGTCTGGTAGCCCTGAGAGTCCCTCCCCACCCGCCCTCCCCTTCTGACCTCGAGCCCCGCGGGGCCGGAGCTGGGTGACCCCGCTGGAAGACGCAACCCCTCGCCTGCCAGGGGAGGGGAGTTTTCTACTGGGTGGGCTTTGGGAGGCTGGAGCCAAGTGCGAGGGGTGAGGGCTGGGGAGAGAAGTGACCTCAGTGTCCCCATCGGCTTGGCCCGAGCTGGGAGAGGCCGCAGCCCCCGGATTAGGGGGTGGTCCGCGGGGTAAGACACGGTCTTTGCAGCTCCAGCCTGGGTGGTCAGGCTAGGGGTGGGGGGTGGGGTGGGGGGTGGGCCGGGGAGGGCCCAGGGAGCTGGGATGGGGGTAGGCGGTGCGGGGAGCAGTGGGAGCCAGGTCGGAACAGCTCGGTTCTGGGTGAGCTACAGACACATGCAGGGGCGTTTCAGACTCACACGTCGAAGCAGTGCGCGGCGGACAGCAGCCACCTCTCTGCCACCAGCACGGCCCCACAGCGGTGCTCCCGGCGCCGCAGCCGCAGGCTCACCTGCCACGGCCACTCCCCACGGCCGGCCGCGCTGCCCCCGACAATCCTGGTGAGCGCCGCCGGCGCCAGGCCGCAGTCTGTGGGGGAACCAGGTGCATGGGCAGGTGGGTTCAGGGCGCCTCCCCCACTCAGCCCCTTGGGCGTGCCCCTCCGCGAATCCCCGTGGCAGCCCTGGGTAGGGGGATGCGAGGGAGGACCTGCCCCAGGAAAACTCAGCAGAAAAGGACACTGGGCCTGATGCGTGGTGTCTGGGCTTTTCCCAGATAACAGTGGGAATGCCTGTGTTCCCTATGACTTCAGCTTCAGGCCACACCACCCCTGCTGGGGCCAGGCAGGAGGCGTCTGGCAGGGCAGCCTACCACACCTCAGGCCTCCAGGACTTCCATCCCACCCCAAGGCCTTGGCAGACACAGGGCCCTTCCCCAGAGCCCCCGCCCTGCCCTGGCACTCTCTGCCTGGGTCCCTGATGGCCCCATCCCCTTCCCTGACATTCCCTGCAGGCTGAGCCCTCCCAGCCCGCGCGGAGCCCAGAGGCCTCCCTCAGAACTCAGCTGTGGAAGAATGCGTGGGTGGTTTCCAGGGACCCCATTACCACCCATGGAGGGGGACCCATACCCACCTGATGTCTCCAGAGGGCCGTTTTCCTCCTCGGGCTAGCCCCCACCCCACCCTCTATCACCACCCAGCTGGCTTCCCTGCGTGCTCCCCGCAGTCCCATCCGAAGCAGACTCGAAGGCCAGCACGGAAGAGAAGTACCACTTCCCCGCCAGCCCTGGCACTGTCCAGCCCTGATTCGAGACCAGGTGGCCTTGGCAAATCCGACGGCGGCCGCAGCCCCCGTCCTTGGGATTGCCAGCTGTCTCCACAAAAAGTCCGCCTCCATTTCAAGGGGGCCTTTTCTACCTCTTTTGCGCCCAAAGTTAAGAGCTCCCAGGCCGTAACTACTGAAAAAGTAAAGAGCAGCTTAGACTGAGACAGCGAGAGCCCCCAGGCTGCGGGGACAGACCCGGATGAGGGCAACTACCAAGTTAACAAGAAACACCCGCCCAGGGACACAGCGAGACTGTGAACCACCAAAGCCCCTGGCTTACCTCTCCCGCCCTCCCCCCCCCCCGCCATAGTGTCTCCCTCTTGTGGCCCAGGCTGGAGTGCAGTGGCACCATCTCGGCTCACTGCAACCTCTGCCTCCTGGGTTCAAGCAATTCTCCTGCCCCAGCCTCTCAAGTAGCTGGGACCACAGGTGCACCCGACCACGTCCAGCTAATTTTTGTGTTTTTTGTAGAGACGGAGTTTCACCATGTTGGCCAGGCTGGTCTCAAACTCCTGACCTCAGGTGATCCACCGGCCTCGGCCTCCCAAAGTGCTGGGATGGCAGGCATGAGCCCCCGCGCCCTGGGATGTTACGTCTTGTTAGGCAGCCTGAGCTGATGGTCACGGTACCCTCCACTACAGGGGTCCCTTTGTCTCACAGTACCTGGTAGCTGGTAGCGGGTGGTGGCCTCTGGGCTGTCTGGAAGTGGCGTCTGTCCCCCAGAGGTGATGCTCACGGCAGATAAGGTTGAGTTGGCAGGTTGGCCGGTCACCCTGCTGGTGGCCACGGGGGTGGGTTGGCTGGGGGTGGGCCCCAGGACTGTGAGGCCAGCCGTCATCCTGGGGGGATGGCTGGTGGTGGCCAGCGTCCTTGTGGTCAAGGGCAGAGATACGGGAAGGGGCTGGGAGGCCATGGTCTCCAGAATCCAGCCCTTCAGCCTCGTGATGCGCGTGTACACGCCAGGCTTCTTAACTTGAGCGCAGCCAATCCCCCAGCTCACGATCCCTGCCAGATAAAACACGCCGGGGGTCTCCTCGCAGGCCAGGGGGCCCCCAGAGTCGCCCTGGAAAGGAGGGAAAGAGAGCTGGTTGATTCTCCGAGGACCCTCTCTTCCCGGCACTGCAGACCCTCTTGTGTTCCTACAGTCGGCGGGGCTCATTGGGGGATGGGAGGGCACAGCGTTGGTCTGGAGACCTGGTGGCAGCCCCGTGCCTGGCTGTGTGACCTGGAGTGAGTCACTTCTGAGTTTCCATCATCCTTGCTTTTGTTTTGGGGCGATAAAACAAGGCAGAAAAAACTCTTAAAAAAAAAAATAGTAAAAGCCATGAATTGTTCCACCACCCAGAAGTAGCCCCTGATCATTAGCTGCCGGGCTTGTTTCTATTTTTTTGAGACAGAGTCTCATTCTGTCGCCCAGGCTGGAGTACAGTGACGTTATCTCAGCTGACTACAACCTCCGCCTCCTGGGCCCAAGCAGTTCTCCCTGCCTCAGCCTCCCGAGTAGCTGGGACTACAGGTGCCTGCCACCACGTCCAGCTGATTTTTTTTTTTTTTTTTTTTTAGTAGAGACAGGGTTTCATCATGCTGACCAG